CTGCTTTTATTCATTTCCCCCATCATGGTTAAGCACTGTGAATGAAGGTAGTTGTCAGGGTTAGCTGCAGGGGTGTGGGTGTTTTTCTTTATTACTTTTTTGAGGGGGAGAGGTAGTTTTATTTTAATTTTATGGGCTCCTTTCCCCCTTTTTATGGTGATCTAATTGCATTGGTTAAAAGCAGCTAACCAGTTCTTTAGAATATGCTCTCTAGCCAAGTCTAACTTTATTTAGACACTGTAGATGGACAAGCTTGATTGTTTGAACCAAAATGGGAACATTAAACAAACATCACAGCCTTCACTAATAACATTGTGACTTTGCTGTCAAGTGTAGAATCCTTCCTTCAAGAAAAAGCTTGTGACCATTTTGTATGGCTTGTCTGGAAACTAATGTAAATCTTATGTTTTAGTAAAATATTTTTTGTTATTCTAAAAAAAAAAAAAGAATTCATTTGGGTTAAGTGTTTTGTGACTTAAAGAAAATGAGCTACTGGTTTAAAAAATAAATCATGGGGGCACCTGGGTGGCTCAGTCATTGGGTGTCTGCCTTTGGCTCGGGTCATGATCCCAGGGTCCTGGGATTGAGCCCGGTGGGCTCCCTGATAGCAGGAAGCCTGCTTCTCCCTCTCCCACTCCCCCAGCTTGTGTTCCCTCTCTCAGTGTGTGTCTATCAAATAAATAAATAAAATGTTTAAAAAATAAATAAATCATGGCTTGTACTTCCATGAGTTAAACTCACGTTAGCACCTTAGTTAGACTGTTTCATACTGGGGTGAATCTGAAGGAATTGATGTTATATATATTTTTAAAAGATTTTATTTATTTATTTGACAGAGGCACAGTAAGAGAGGGAACACATGCAGGGGGAGTGGGAGAGAGAGAAGCTGGTTCCCTGCTGAGCAGGGAACAGAATGCGGGACTCTGGGATTAGGATCTGAGCCAAAGGCAGACTCTTAAACTTAACTGACTGAGCCACGCAGGCACGCTGAATTGATGTTATATTGTGAGCTGATTGCTTTCATGGCTTATCACTGAAAAGCAATTAAACATTACAAGGCAAAAATAGTCTTCAGTAAAATTATTTCTGTAAATAACTGACATAAAAATTTGACTTAATTGTCTCCAGAATGAGGCTCATGTCCCAAAGGCTTCAGACTGACCTCAAGGAAAATTTTGCAGACTTTAAAAAAAAAAAAAAAAAAGGATGACCCGTCCAAACACTCTACCTAGAAGGAAGTCTAATTTGGGGCCTCTTTTAGAAAATGTTGAAGTCACATATTGGATAGCCAAGTAGAAAGGAATAGATTTGCATTTTATTTTTTCACATGCACACACATATATATATTTGTAGTTTTCCCATGATATGTTACTTAGGTTCTGAGAGACATTTTAGTCAGTTACTCTATTTCTGTTTGGTAATATAACAATACAGTGTTGGTGTTTTCACATTTAGATGTATGTACTAGATTTATTCTACAATATCTAAGGCAGACAGATCACCAAATCTCCTTTCTTTCCTCTTATCTTTTAAAAATGCATGTAGAGGGGCCTCTTGGTGGCTTAGTTGGTTAAGTGTCTGCCTTCCGCTCAGTTCATGATCCCAAAGTTCTGGAATCGAGCCCCACGTTGGGCTCCCTACTCCGTGGAGAGCCTGCTTCTCCCTCACCCTCTGTCTGCTGCGCTGCCTACTTGTGCACTCTCTCTCCCTTTCACAAAAAAAGAAATAAAATCTTTAAATAAAATGCATATAGTTATGTGTACATGATGCCCATCACCAATATCCTATGACCTTGGGCCCATCACTCTGCCTTTCCATTTTTCTGCACAAAGAAGGGAATGAAAAGGGGGTGGCTTCTACCCCCCTGATTCTGAGTTCTTTAACCTGGCTTCCTTGTGGACATTTACAAGTCCCAACCTCTTAGTATCCTAATTAAGTATCCTAATTAAGTATCCTTAATCCTCTTGACTCTGAAAATGGTTTTGATTGGGTATTTTATTTTTTTATTATTTTTAAAATTTCTTATTTATTTATTTGACACACAGAGAGAGCACGCAAGTAGGCAGAGAGGCAGGCAGAGAGAGGGAGGGAAGCAGGCTCCCTGCTGAGCAGAGAGCCCAGTGCGGGGCGGGGCTTGATCCCACACTCTGGGATCATGACCTGAGCCGAAGGCAGAGGCTTAACCCCCTGAGCCACCCAGGCACCCTTGATCGGGTATTTTAGTTTGTACTCCCTCAGAAGCAGATTCCAAGACAAGGATTTGAATATAAGAAGTTTATTGGCGGGGGTGGGGGGAACCTGGGTGGCTCAGTGGGTTAAAGACTCTGCCTTCAGCTCAGGTCACGATCCCAGAGTGCTGGGATCGAGCCCCGCATCAGGCTCTCTGCTCAGCAGGGAGCCTGCCTCCCCCCCCCCCCCCCCCCCCCCCCCCCCCCCCCTC